AGTAATCTAATAAGGAAGCAAAAACCTCCTCCATCACAGAAAAGACTGGATGCAGACTAGACTACAAAAATAAAAGTGGATTGTTGCAGTTCAAGACTAGATGTGTGACATAAATATGTTCACATCAGCATGTTTTGATCATTGCTGGGAACCTGTACATTATAATTTACTTAGTTGTTGCAGTTAAAGTGGATTGTTGATATCTAGGATTAAGGCTTGGATTTATCCCTCCTCTAACTAGCATAGATATAATATATAAATCATTGCCAGCATTGTGGCAATCTCAAAGACAAACAAGGCTATTCATGATAAAACAGGACAACATAAACAAGAGGGAAATGCATGTGTACACAAAATTAATTAAGTTATATCGCTAATTTCAGGGCCAAACTCCGTGAGTTATCAATGAACAACTTCTTAGGTTAAAATAGAACTACGTTTACATCTAATTAATAATATGTACATGATCATTCACAGCAATTTTCTTGTATTAGTCTAGACTACCGATGCAAATAGAAGGTTGAAACTAAGGATGAGTTATCATTACAAATTCTAATTGGGCAGGATATATAGTAGCTTTTTTTTCGATCTGGTTAAAAAATGAAGAAATCCAAGTACCTACAAGCTTTTGAAAAAAAGGCAATGGCTACCACAGGCTAGGTTTTGATGGCTCATGTGCACACACTTGATGAAAATAGACAATTTTGCTCTTTTACCCAAATAAAAAAAAATCAAAATCCAAACCACTATATACTTATGCCATCGCTGGATCATTGTTTAACCATAAGATATCCACATTAATCTTGTCAAAATCATATATAATCATTGTTTAAAATCCAAAGCACTGTAAAGGCCTGGTCGTTGTTACGGTGGTACGTACCTGAGTTCGTGGACGGCGCCGGAGGGGTTGATGAAGTCGGAGAAGATGAAGTCGAAGGGAAGAGGAACGGAGGAGAGAAGAGAGGAGGAGAAATTAACCGATAGGGAGGGAGGCGGAACGTTGTTCTAGGTATTTTACTTTTTTCCGATTGTTGTTTCTTTTCAATTGTAGGATAATTTGAGAGAGGTGAACTCATGCTTCTATATATAGGTAGGATAATTAATGGGATAATTATGAGAAATTATCCCAATTCTAATTCTACTAGAATTCTATTTGACTAACGCTCTAAAAAAATAATGCAGTTCTAGTTCTAAAAAAGTTCTACTTGACTAACACTATAAAAAAATATCCCATTTTCTAATTCTATGTGACTAACACCTTAAAAAATTATCCCACAAATTATCCCAGTTCCAGTTTTAAGTTCTAGGTGACTAACCCCCCCTTACAGAAAAAATGTTAATTAAAGACTGTTCTTTGTACAACGAATCAACGATATTGAATATAATAACAATTGATAAGAACTCTGAAAATAAAGACTTACTAACATGATTCAAGGCCAAAAGATGGACTAGCCCATTCGATATAGTTACTCCATAACACGACAAGAAATGGAAATCGTAATAAAGATGAAATAACAAAAAAATTTCATCTGAAAATTAAAATAGAGTAATAAGTATGAAACCTTCTTCAGGTTTCACAATTTATTATAAAAACCCTAACATTATTTTTTTCATTACAGCACCCTATGATGTTATTAAAAAAAGAGATAAAACTCATTTAATTTATACTTTTTCTTTAAAATTAAAATACAATACCCGTCGTAATGCTTCTCTTCTTCCTCAAACTATTGCAAAACTCGTCTCCCCTTGGCTCACGTCAAACCCAAACAACCACAACCATGCATCAACAAAGAGAGAATTAATAGAAGATCAGAGTAATGTCGTAATCCTACAAGATGAGAACTCTTTTAATGACTAGTGAATATCAAGTTTTGTTGGATTGCCAATTCAATGGTAACATGCACACACATGATTTAAACTAGACATAACATGATTAAATCTAATTTAATTTTTTAAGTCTAATTTCATGTTAAGTCCAATTAAATTAGACTTAAAACAAGTTGATTTAGACATAACATGATTTAAATTAGATTTAAAAGGAATTAAATTAGACTTCATATGGATTAAATTAGACTTCATATGAATTAAATTGGAGTTAACATGAAATTAGACTTAAATTTGACTTAACATGAAATTAGACTTAACATTAAATTGGACTTAATATGAATTAAATTGAGCTGAAATTAGACCTAAAAAGAACTCTAAATAGACCTAACACGAACTCTAAATAGACCTAACATGAAAGAATAGAGTATATAAGGATATTATGGGGTTCTGTACTTTTTATCCTCTCTCTATGCTTAGTTGACAGGTAATAATTGCTAAAAAAAGCTGCAGCATAAGATGTCACACTTCTTAAGACTGAACTACATGCTCGAAAAGTGAAGGAGCTGATGAAGATGTTGCTTTTAGGGCCTTCACACAATTTTACCAAATTATAAATTCATATCACTCGTGGTCATGAGAGGACGGCACATACTGTAGATGATGGGATCTGTATCGTCCGGGCATTGCCTTTAATAGTCCAAAATGGTAGGGCGGTGGGGGTTAAGGTATTCAATTGGCATTTGGTTGAGCCTCAGTTCATAAATTAATTTTTGACTTTCACGTAAATTAAATTGTTAGTATTTAAAGAGAGAGATCGAATAGAGGTAAGGGTGGTCGTGGGCCGGACCGGTTCAGGCATGTAACCTAGCCCGTTGGGTTCAAGGTCGGGTCAGATCCGAACCGGGCCCGTCCGGATCAAAATGGATCGAGCCTTTTTTTTTCTAATTCCGGGTCTAGGACTAGCCCCACCTATGGGTCTTAGGTCAGCCTGTGGATTTTTTTAAACTTTTTTCTAATTTTTTTATTTTTAATTTATAAACTATATTAACTTTGTATTAGTATTCATTAAATTATATTTAAATTATTTTTTCTATTTTACTCTTTATTTAAAATGATATATATATACACGCACGTTGTACAAAAATAAACATCATACAAAAAAATATTAGAAACACAAAGATATACCTGGTTCGGACATCGAAAGAAGACCTACGCCCATGGGAAGTTAATAACTTTTCTTTAGTTTCAATTTAAATTATAAATACAAGAGGAAAAAAGAAAATAAAAAATGTTAACTAAAAGCTAATAATTAAAATTTCGGGTTGGGTTAAGCCAGGCCGGGTTAATGGTGGGCCGGGCCTATTTCTTTAGTTCTGGGTCTAGAATTGGACCCAACTCGTCCCATGACTCGTATATATCAATGG